CATTCTCGGGTCTTTTACTCCAAAAACTTAATTTTCTTTATTCCAAAGTTTTCTTCAAATCCAACACAAATTTTTACTCTCAATGGGCTTCTAAGTAGAAATTCAATTAGAATTTGCCAAGAAAATTTGAATAGGATTTCACAATTGCATTCCAAATAGGATTCTAATTAATGTACACTTTAATTAGAACTCTCAATTATTTTCAACAAAGAATTTTGATTACACCCAAATTCTAAAAGGACAAGACAAATACTTGCAAACTTACACAAGAACCCATTCTAGAAAACATATTTTTAGGTTATAATTTTGTCATTAGAATACAATCCAGGAAATAGAAGTTGGATACTTGTGCTTTTCTAGAATCCGACAACATTAAAGATGATTCAGTTGTCATCCATTTGAAGATGTAGAGTCTATTTCTCTAAGATTGAAACTTCGATGCTTTATAACACTGAATGAGATTTTGTGCTCACAGAATGAGAACTCCAACTCCTAATCTTTGTTGTATATTTTCAAAATCGGCTAGCGAAGCTTATAAACAAATCTCTTAAATCAGATTGTCGTAAAAAACAGTATACATTAATGCAAAATAGATTTCGTCAATGAAAGAATTGGTCCTCTAAACACTTCATAATGGAGACTTTTCTAGTCAGGATTAGATGTTCGTTGACTATCCGAAGACTTGCAAATTTACAGAAGAATAGCAAACATCTTTTCAAATTTATAATTCCTCAGTGGTGAGTCTCTCACTACAGCAAGAGCCTGTTATGATCAGAATGGCACAGGAGTAGTCCAAAATGAAATTGCTTAGACCCCGAATACATGCAAACAAGCCAAGTGACCAAGAAAAATGATGTTTATAGTTTTGGAGTAGTCCTTGTGAAGCTACTAACAGGAAAGAATGCATTAAGCTAGGACAGACCAGAGGACGAGAGAAATTTAGCCAAATATTTTCTTTCAATGCTGAAGCAAGGATGCTTATTGTCACGCGAAAATATATTTCGAATGTGAACTCCCGCAAGTGTACGAATCGTTGACAAGTAATAAAGTAGACTTTTTGAGTTCCGAATATCGTTCTCACAGAGATATATTTAATTTGATTTCTATTTACTACGATCTTAATCGAAACGATAATATTAACTAGAATTAAATCAACTACGATGCAAGTGGGAATTACTAAACTAAATGGAATTGATGGTTGAATACAAATTTTATGAAATTTATGAATGAATGACGCACTAGGATCTCGAATCCCCAAGTAATACTTATTTCTAACTCTAATATTATAAT